ATTTTGCTGACATTACACTGATACAGCCCATGGAAGGCTATTTGTCCAGCTAATGCATTTCAGGAGGGACATGAAATGCAATTTGTAGCCATTTTAATTGAGCACTTTTTTTAGAAAGTAGGTCTTTACAGAAATGCCTGAAAATTACCTGAGTACATGACGAACCTTCTATAGTTTTAATGTAAGAAATAATTGCAATAATGCCTAATAAAATAACATAGACAACAAGCTAACAGGAAAAAAACACAAGGCTCTACCAAAGATGTGCAGGGAGGGCATTCAAGGCCACTTATTCATACATGAATATAAATATTGATTTATTTATCTTTTCATGTCAGAATATTTAAACCCTGAATAAATTGTGTGCTACTCTATGGTTAGGAAAAAAATATTTAAACCCTGAATAAATTGTGTGGTACTCTATGGTTAGGAAAAAAATGATATGTTACGTACATTCCAAGCAAGGGATGAAATGCTGAGAATCATGTCGGAAAGAAAATAAAAAAAATAAGGAGATTTGGATTATCCCAGTATCATTGCTTTTTATACAAAAAATACAGAAAACTGTTCAGTCTGTAGTTCCAAACCTGTTTCTTACCGTAACCTGTCTGACATAATTCTCCCTAGCTGCTAACTCTGGGTCCTTATTCAGGGTCTTCTGCCAGAGAGCCTTGGCACCGCTTCAGCTGCCATTACCTGGGCAGGGCAGCAGGCTTGTTGGCCTTATTGTGCTACTGTTACCGTGTGATTTATGACTCTGTCGTTGTGCATCTGCTACATTAATAAACATACAGGCACACACCCATAATTTAACCTGCACAGTTAAACAACAACCTCTTCCTGAAACTTTACGATGCTGCGTTTCTGAAGTTGTCGTTAGCGCAGACAATGGATGTGGTTTTATTTTCGGTACTGTTTCCACACCTGTCTGATGCCTAAAGTTGCACAAGGAAGAAAAATACTGAAACTTTTGGAGTGGGCTGTTGCTGTAATAGTTATCCAAAAAAAAAAAAAAAAAATTGTCCATTTACAGTTAAAAGATAACACACACATATAATAATAATGGTAATACACACATATCTATAAATGTTGACTAATTGTACATGTGCCGCACACGTTTCTACTAAGGTTTTTTTTTTTGTTTTTTTCTCAGCATATTCGTGAATGTTATTGTGTACGTATCTTCAAACAGGAACTGGAAACGGGATTTGCCCTCAATACTTTAGGAATTCTCAGCTTTTAGCTCGATTTTCCACTGGTTACTGTGTTATTAATTCATACATGCTTTCCCCTCTCTGCTCCAATTGGCTGTCCTCTTCCCTCTGTTGTTTATTTATTGAAGAGTGCCTCACTGCTTAGTTTTTAATGCGATACTGTGTGTAGTATATTTACCATTCAGAACAATTTCTGACTCGTCTTGAAACACGGGGTTACTACACAGCACGCAGCCCTGACCTAAAGGACAATAACGCTCACAGTATTAATTAATTTCTCCCAACACCATGAGAGTACGATTACAGTCGTCAACACTACGAGCATTACTATTCTATCAAGGCCACCTAGTGGAAGTGCTTCAAAACACAACATATACTGTAGTATTTCTGTGTTTTCTTGGCACATTTAATTTCCTAATACAACATTCATTTGTCATCCTTGTTTTTATTTTTACACAGCTTTGGTCTGACAGATTTTTTTAATTAATATTCACTACACTAAGAAATTCAAGAAAAGACATCAGTGTTTTCAAATATTTTCATGTTGTTTACTCTATTTTATTGTATTATATTAAAAAAGTGACTTTCTTTACACTTCTATACACAAATGTATGGTTTTCTAAAAACAACACACTCAAATTGTATATCGACTATTTATTCATTTATTTATTTTTTACCACTGTCCACCTGCTACTTTATATATATATATATTATTTATTGCAAACACACCTGAGACATGTATAAAACATTCACTGTGTATTAACAGATGATATCCTGCTGGTATGGAGGACCTTTCTAGGTTGTAGCGCTGATGTCCTGTTATTTTTGCATATAAAATATTCAGGATTACCACATTCAGAAGACGGAAAAATATAGGCACTCTATATACTATAATGTTATATATTTTATATACTTCAAAATATTGGTTTAGCACAGAGCTGAATATGAAATTAAGTAAATTAAACTAAACCTTTTTAACTCTTTCAGGATGAGAGGCCGCAGATGTCGAGGAATTTAGAAATTGTCTGTATAAAGCAAATGAATAAGCAGATTTTTTTAGCTTTTGCACTTCTGCATCATTATTTGAAGTTACAAATGTAACTTATGAAATGTAAAGTCAATTTAATAAAAATAGCATGCATTTATTTCTATTTAAATTTGATATATTGGTTTAGTCCAAAGGTATTAGCATCTGTTTATTGCTGCCCGTTACAGATGGAAGATTCGGAGAAAATGTCCACGAGCTATGATTTCAGTCTCCATTAGGTTTTTGGTCAAAGGGAAAAATGACACTTTCACCCACTCATTTCCAGATTTCTCTTTTTTTTGTCAGTAGTGTCAGTAAGTTAAATGTCTTAATTACTAAACTAGCCTTCGTCACGGCCCACTTCAAAGGCTGTGGCCTGGCGCTCTTCATTAGCTCAATCAGTGAGTCAAATATGACGAATGGCCGTCCTGGACTTGTGTGGGCAGAGCTTAAAACAGTCCAACAGTGTGATAATCACAGTCAAACAGCCTGAACCCAGCACGAGGCAGTACATTTTGTGGTAGAAAAAGCACACCTACATGCAGTTTTCCTGTTCATTCATTTTATTTTTAATCTCAAATCGTGAATGTTTTGTGTCATGTTTAAGTGTCAAGTCAACAATACTAGAAGTCTCTCTGCACCACTATAATTCAATGGCTCATGTTTCTGAAACCTGATTGACTATTTTTTATACAATTTAATTTTTTTTGTTATTGTGACTTCTTCAACACATCAGGCTACGCTAATGTCAAAATAGAAGCACATTGCAAAAAAAGTCCATTTTGATCTCTCTTTTGTTTCTTCTAATTAACAACAATGTAGGAAAGAGCAATAGAATCAACACATCATTCCAAGAATATCACTAAAGGCTTCAGTAGAAGTTAACGGTAAACTGTTCTAAAAAAGTACTTCTGTGATTATGAAGTGTGCAATTTAAGCACAGAATTACTGCAGAAAGAATCAAAAACTAAACCCTTTGGTTCCACTTGAATAAACATAAATGGAACGCAACGGGAATTCACATGTATAAAAGCAGTAAGTGCCTCAAACAGTTCTAGTAACCTTTGAAGTCAACAGGGGGTGAGCGTTTAATATCCAGGGGTATTGTGGCTGGAGTACCCCTTTTAATGTGTAATTCTTCAAGCCGTGTTGCCCTGTGTTTGACCTTATGTATTCTATTTGCCTGGTTCTGCCGGTCGTAGTCAGAGCAGCTGCTCATTGAGGCAGGTTATTCTAATTTTTTGGTAAAATTAGCATGAATTGTTAGTCAGGAATAAATCTTTGGCACAAACACTTATTCTCCAACCAAAACATCAAACATCTTCAACTTTTGGGATTCATGTTCTTTTTTTGATTTATTTATTTATTTTCTCTTATTTATTGAGAAAAGTGGAGCCAAATACACAACTCTGGTTGTTGAGGCTTTCGTTTCTCAAGGCTGATTTTAAACCTTGAATGTGTTCATTCATACAAGAGTAAGTGAAAAGGTTTGAAGACAGATGTCCAAATCATGTTCAGTTCCTTTCTAAATGTGTCTGAACATTGGTAAACATCTCTCTGGGGCCTCAAACAGCAGTGACAACATCAGGAATATGACCCTGTCAAGTGTTGAGTTGTCTTTTTTTTATTAAATGAAAGCCTCAATTTTGGAATGTTTGCAACAGGTGTCCTCAACTTGTTTCATAAGGTTTCCTATAAATCTTTTTCAGTCCTTAGACCAGACAAAAGCAGCAGGTTGTTACCAGGTGTGAAAAACACTCAGCAGAATTCTACAAAGAAGTCTTTCTCTGATGAAAAACACAGAGGGAAATAGATTTGTGGTTTTCTCTAATAACGATTTTTTTTGTTTGTCACTCTTTCTTAGAACTGTTTTAATGTCACTTCTTGTGATCATTTTACTGTGATACAGTACGTGATAATACTACTGGATAATTACTACATCAATGACAGATGCTCAGTATCGAAGGAGCAGGAAACTACTTAGCTGTGCCGAGATAAACAGTCTGGTTGACAGGTGTCAGACGTCTTCGGCTGATCTGTTGTTAAAAATGGCTAGTTACTCATCCATCCCTCTGTCCTGCAAATTGTTCCACGTGTAATAATGCTGCACACTAAAACCCAGTCCACACTGTCACTGTATTACTTAGTGGTTGGGTTGTGCACCATAAATAGGAAAGTGAACTACTTGTTAGAAAGGAAAGTGGATTATTTGTCATTGTGACACAGCACTGCACACAACCAAATGTGACCTCTGCTTTTAACCCATCACCAAAGTGAGCGTCCAGGGAGCAGTGAGTGGAGACGGTGCCACGCACAGAGCACCTTAGTGGTAACTTGGCAGCTGGTGGACTCGAACCTGAAACCTTCTGGACCCAAGGCTGCTTCTTTAGTTTAGTTTAGTTTATTTATAAGGGGACAGTGCAATTTCATAAATCACATGATTACACATTGTTAAAAAAAGCCAGAAGGCTAGATTTCATCTGTAGTCCCCTGGCCATGATGTAAGAAGGCAGAAAGCACACAATACATAAGATACAATACAAAACACTTACTATACAATTTTGAAACCTGAATCTGACATTTTCCTTTCATGGAAAAACAGGTGATACTGACTGCATGCAGTGTGGCATATTTTTCTTTTTTTTTTTTTTTAGAGAGCCTTCACTTGCTTTTTACTTCACTGGGACAACATATGGCTAATCAAAAATCTAATCAAATCTGTCAAATGTACAAATGTTGTTGTGTTTCCTTCTGTGCAGAACAAGATAATCTTGGACCCTTTAACATTCAGCGAGGCGCGTTTCCGACCTTCTCTGGAAGAACGTCTGGAAAGCATCATCAGCGGTGCCGCTCTGATGGCCGACTCCTCGTGCACACGTGACGACCGCCGTGAACGCATCGTGGCCGAGTGCAACGCTGTTCGACAGGCTCTCCAGGACTTGTTGAGCGAGTACATGAACAATGTGAGTTCCCTTTCTTGATTATTTGATGCACATGCTGTAGCCTTGGCTCCAGTACTCCTGTAGGCCACACCGATAACAGAAGCACATTAGCAGCTGGATCACTTTTCCACTCTTTTCTTTCTGTAGTATTTGAATCCATTAATAGTTCCACAGATAAAGGGACCAAAGCCAGGCTGTTATGTTGACACCATGAAACAATTATTTTAGTGTAGTGCAGGGGTCTCAAAATCAAATAATCTAAGGGCCACTGTCTTCGCACAGGAGGGCCGCAGTAGTATTGATGTGTAATCTAAAATTTTTATTTTTGGTTCCAAAAAAATGAAACAGTGCAAAACAACATCACAAAGTGCAAGGAATAAATTGCATCATATTATAATAAATATTCTGACCACACAATAAAAAAATCGTACATATTATTATGGCAAAGATCAAAATGATTGTTGTCTAGTCCGATATGGTAATGGCCCATTTTAAAATATTAAATAATCTGAACATCAATATTTTTCAAAACGATTGTTCTTTAAAAAGCTAGTCTGGTTCCACTTCTCTATAGTTGGCGGGTCAGATTTTTATGCACTGCTGTGATTGGTATAAGTGTTTAAAGGCGAGGGGATGAGCCAAGACAAGACTATTCATCACAGACATGCAATTTATATTCCACTTCAGCCATCCCATTTCTGCATAGTGAGCTGTGGGCTGTGTAAGCAGTGTCTACATAGGCAAAAATATAAGGGGTGCTTCCATGCTCAGTCACTGACCTTGCAAAAATGACTTGCTTTTCCGTACTGGACAGTGAGATTTTATCACTTGGCTTCAGCTCATAGCTGTTCAATGACAAATCCATTAAATCTCCATTCTTTTTATGAAGCTCCAAACCTGCATGAAAATGCAGTCACATCTAGTCAAATTTCTTCCCAAATCAAAATTTTCCCCAATTAACGTTTTACCTTTACATATGACAATAGAAAACTATTTATTGTTGGCCGCACAACAATTCTTTCGCTCAATGTCTGTAAAAGAGCTCCAGCTGAAAACGTTAAGGAACCACAATGATGTGTCTGAATAGAAGTAAACCTTGATGTAAAAAAACAAAAGCCAGCCTAATCATCATGTCCACGTTTCATTTACAATGCTAACATTTAATAAACAGACCGACAAAAGTTTCCCAAAATGGGGTAAAAGTATATCTTAGGAACATTTTTGGATTCTTTCCATTCCTCTAATGCCATCATAGTGGCTGAACACATTTTTCAAATTTACCATTTTGTTGCAGTAGATTTATAGGAGTTGAAATGTTCCTTTGAAATTGAAACTTGCATTGGTAAAAATGAGAAATGACACCAAGTCCAAGTGTCATTTTTGGCTGGTGAGCAGCTGGCAGCCTATTTTCCTATTGATCTCCACTGAATCTAAAGTGCTGGGCAAATGCCCGACGCAATACTTTATAATTTTTAGCTTAATGTTTATTTGGAGGAGCAGATATGCTAAAGAAGTTTCAAAACAAAAGTTCTAAAACTTCCGAGCAAAGATCTCTTTGGTCGTAATTGAATCCAGTGTTTGTGATTGTGATTGTGTGTGTGTGTGTGTGTGTGTGTGCAGAGGCTGGTAGGCAGGCATGCGAGTGCGTGTGACTGCTGGCGTGTCAGATTCTTTCTCCTATTATTCATTGACAATAGATATGCATTGTATCAACTTTTAAAGCTAAAATGTTTCCTGTGTATTTTGTTGTAAGCCGCTGCCATTATTTAACATTTTAAATATACTTTCAGTTTTTCTCTTTTCCTCTGAGGTCAGCGCAGAGGAAGAGCTGATCACAGACATAGTCCAGGGATTTTAACTAATTTTGACGTTCTGACAGAGAAGTGCCCATGGACCACAGTGTGAAATTATGTTTTAGTTTTTTCCTCTGCCTGTTGGTGCACATCTGGGCAGGGTGGATTGCACAGAGTCAGTCTATTTTAAGAATTGTAGTGGTAGATGGGGACGGTCGTATAACATTCCCTGGCTCGGGCTTTTCTCTCTTGTTATTGTTAGCTCCAGTAATTCAGCCAGACAACTGATCCAGAACTTCTTGGTTGTTCATCATCCATGTGTCTCCTCTCATAGTGAAGGCCAGGGACCACTTGCAATCATTTTTTGGACCACCGGCGGGATACGGACCTGAGATTGACTACTTCTTCCTATATGTCTTTATATGAGGATGAGGAGATGAGGATGCAGGGGGATGGGGTTTCGGAGGGGGTTGATGTTGTTGCACTTTATATAGAATAAGTTTATACTCTTGTAAATAGGCATTGGCATTTTGTTTTATGTGAGGTTTTCTTCCACTAACTGAACCAAACTTGAACGCCGTCACTAAACGGGGGCATCTGAGTCCCCCTTGTTAATAACACACACAAACACACACACACAGCCCTTAAGACATTGGTGTTTTTTTGCTAAAGTAATTGAGCATTGCTTCATTAGGCCCATGAGTTGTGTTTTGGAGGCTACAGCTGGGAGATTGTTGACAGCCCCTGGCTGTCCAAAGAAAGAACATGGTATAAATCACAGTGACACAAAGAACAAAATGCTTCCACTTCTCTGCTCAATCTCCTCAATAATAATAAATCAACAACCACACCTGCTCATAAAGCAAATTGTCTAATGAATAATGTAAAATTGTTAAAATTACAGAGAAAACGGCAGTTTTATTATAGCAAACCCTCGTCAAGCCTGTCCAATTAGAGGAAAATATGATCATGGAAAATCCTTTTCATTTGGGATTAAAAACCCTATTTTCATTGTCCAATCGCATCCTAATCACTAATTCCTTTATTCTCTGTATGTTTTCCACAGACGTTGTGTTTCTTTTCTTTTCTCTGATTAGCTTAAATGATTAACTAGACAGGTTTGCTGTATTAGAATAAAAAAACAAACAGTATTACACACGAGTTTTGGCAACACGAAGGCAGCAGCATACAAACATTACACCAGGGGTCCCCATTCCCTGGTCTTTAGACCCATACTGGTTCATGGCTCATTTGGTACCAGGCAACAGTGAGATAATTTTAAAAATTACATAATTTGAAGAGACTGTTTATTTCCTTTTACTTTCTTTGGTAAAGAAATGCTATCAGCTACACTATGGAATCATAAGAACAATAATCGAATCAATACTCACAAAGGTTTCACCTCTAAGAATTTCTAATGATTGGTAGGAAATAGAACCTACTTTGCACCACTTTCTCAAAAGTAGTTGGAAAAAATAGTTTAAATAAAACTTTTTAAAATATTTCTACTGACAACACAAAATAATATTTAGTTGTTTATGAAACTTCTCTAGCTACTATTTTTTTTTCTCTCAGAATTCTGTTGCTGACTCATTTGCCCTCACATGCCCTGACTCTAACTAGTGTGTCAATATAAAGCATCCTGCAGCCATTGATTCATTTTAGTTACATCCCAGCTGTGAGCTCCAGCACAGTGTTGGGTTACAGTGGAGGGAATCATTTGTACCACAACCAAATAAAAACTATCCACTGCAGCAAAGTTGGTTTTGATTGTGTAGAAAAAAAGTGCTTTCTAGTTTACTGTAGTAATGTAAACATCCCGTGGCCTTTATGTTTCCTCCTTCCTCCTTCAGTTGCACTACTGTTCCTCCACCCTGCACACACATTTATATAGGAAGCTTGAACCACAGCACAAGGTTAATCAATGTGGTAGCTGGCAATAAATTAGGTTCAAGTGACAGGAGAATGTCCATACCTGTCTCAGCTGCTGGTGATCTGTGATTGGTGACAGCAGGCCCGGCTCCCTGGCTGGTGCTGAATCATCAGGAGCAGCTGATTTAGTTACGGCAGCTCCGACAGGGCAAATCAATCAATTGATCTAGGGAGAATGCATAGCCAACTTAGGTCAAGTGAGACTGTGCGGAATATAGCCATAGTCAGACGCCATTGCAGCTAAAATCAGACAACCCGGCAGTACAGTGAACAGCGGAGCAGGATTTAGGGAGTGCGACAGTGAACACACTAATCTGGCTCTTAGCTGCATGTGGCACATAAACTAAACAGAGGCTGTGAGCTAAGGTGATCATTAGAGAAAGACCGATGGGTTCTCCTGAGCATGCAGGAGCTGACGTGGAGAATGCTTAATCAACAGTTGGGAAAAGTGATCACTGACAACGATCAGTAGTGATAGTAGTAGTAGTAGATGAGTAGTGTGAAGTGGTTGTGTTTCCTTCTCCAAGTCTGCTTCAGACTTGGGTCCGGAAGGATTCGAGTTTGAGTCCATCAGCTGCCAAGTTAGCACTGAGGTGCTCTGAGCAAGGCACCGTCCCCACACACTGACCCCACGCTTGTGGGCCCTGAAAGCTGCCCGCAGAGGTCACATTTCGTTGTGTGCAGTGGTGTGTCACAATGACCAGGAGTTCAGTTACCACTGAACTTTGCCTCATTTGTCATTGTGCCAAAAAAAAAGGCAATTTCATATATTTTTAAAATTTTAAAAATGTGTTAGATTATCACAGAAAAAAATGAACATCAGTCAATGTAAAGTATTTATAATAAAACACTTTCTGTATGAAGACAATTGATGATGATTTATACACAGCGATAATCATATGGGGTCAGGTCACAACAGAATCTTTGTGACGTTCTAATCAATACATTCACTCCCATCACTGCCACTTGAGGCTTAGATAATCCCAGATGGGAAATGTCAGTCTAGATGGATGAACCCCTCCCAGTCAGCAGTAACCCAGACTGGGAGAGACAGCGTGGGCTGCTGCTGACTTGGTATGTTTCATCATTGTCTGGAACCTTTCACTATTTCAGAACACCAG